TTTTTCAATTTTTGAATTCCATATATTTGATTAGTACTCAATTCGTTTATCGTCTTTTTTTTTCAATTTTAATATCCATAAAAATGAGCAGCACTAAATTCGTACATGGTTTTTTTTTTTCAATCTATAAAGTCCATACCAAACAATGAGTAGCACAAAATTCGTATATAAATATTTCATAACGCTTTAGCACGGAGCCTGCGAACAAGAAGCCTTTCTGCACAATATTGTGCATAGCTCCCATCAAAGCGCCTCGGGGTGCGCGTATTGTGTTACTTGCGTTACACACATTCTTTGTAACTTGACACGCGGTCGGGGATTCTTTTGTTGGCGCCCGATTTGAATATCACTATAAAATGCCGGGTGCCCGTATTAAATAATAATGTGTTTCGGGACGACCATCGCTACTAACCTAAACCGGTTGATTGATTCTCTCCGTCGCCTCAGCACTCGCAGATCGACAAACGGATTTTCACTTACTGCACAAATTTCAATAGCGGTCTACGTAGGTATGAACAATTCTATTCATTTTATGGAGTCCATAACGCTAATGTACTCAATAATGTTCTCAAACTTCTTAAAAACGGCCAACAATTATATGTAGGTTTACACATTCATCTCTGTTATATATCAATTTAAAATAATAGAAGTAATAAGTGAAAACTATTTATTGTTTTGTTGATATTCCATCATGGATATAAATGTAAAATGCTTCAAGTAACATATTTATTGATGGTTGTTTTTATTACATTCGATATAAAATAATCTCATTCTTGCGGATTATTTTTTTTTTCCATTTTAAAATCTCGGCATATGTGTATATTTTAAATTTAAGACAATATTATCTTAAAGTTAAAACGTAACTAAATCTATTAGACGCGTATAGCGAACTTCGCAAAATCAGTCGCTTTGTTGTAACAACTTTCATAATCAAGTCAACGTTTGCCACGCGTTATCCTTACATTGTATAGAAAACCTTGTTAAAGCAATTAATTAAAGGTTGTTTCGGCGCGGGAGACGAGACTCTCCGGCGGAATTAGGTGGCTCAGTCCACCCTCTTGGAGTCGCTTCCCGTTTCGAGCTTTTATCGGCATGAACGAAATTGAATTTCGCTACGTTGATTATCCTGTTTGTTGTAATTTGTTTACTTAGTTAATTCATTTGTGCGCAAATATAATTATTTCATTGTGCGACAGACTTTAATTTAGTACTAAGTTGAAGGTAGCATATTAACTGCTCTCGGAAAGGTCGTGTGTTATATTTCTAACGATAAAATGAATAAAGTATCCGGACAAATGGATTTTTGCCTTGCATACGTCTAAGGTGAAAAAATCTGAAATTTGTAATTCTCTTGTTATTGGTTACGAATAAAATTGATGGCTCGGTGGCGCAGTTGTTGAGCTATTGGCATCGGCGCTGGGGGTCGTGTGTTTGATTCCCACACGGGACAAGCATTTGTGTGATCTACAGATAATTGTTCCGGATCTGGGTGTTTGTGTCAAAGGAGTTTGTTTATTGTTTATATTCAAAGATTTTTATAGAAAATAAAAGTAAGGAATGACTCGAGTCCGTAGCCATAAGTTTTTAGTTATTGTCTAATAAAGACCTAAAGTAAAAAAGTAAAGTAACGACCCATACAAGTCCCACTGCAGGGCTAAGGCCACCTCTGTATAGAGGGTATCAGGCCATAGTCCACCACGCGGCCCCACTGCGGATTGGCAGACTTCACATATCTTTGATATAATATTTTTGTTATTACTTAGAAAATATGCAGGTCCTTACGATGATTTATTTCGCCTCAGCACGTTAGCACTTAAAATTGTTAATTAAATTGATGATGGCACCGGGATTTGAACTCAAGTTTCTCGAGTATATTCTTGAAAGCGTGCGCCCATGGTCACGGCCACGGCCCAGCGGCACTGAGCCATCACGGCTTCTAGATAAATTACTTATAAGACATAATATTAATATTTTAGATTATTTTTATAAAAAAAAACATTGCCTTTACTGTACTCTTTAAGAACACAAATTTCACCTGAACAATTATCTGTGGGTCACACAAACAACCCCAATACCTTGGCAACTGCGGCACGGAGTCACCAACTAGAGATAGGTTAGTTTTGAAACACGAGCGGTACAATTTCGTAGCCGTCGAAACAAGTCGTCTCACGGTCACACCGATCATGTCAGCAGTCAGACTCCACAAAACAAGGTTTACAAGGCACCACGAATAATACACGAGCGCGATGGAGATACGGAAAGTGTTTGCGGTATCAATAAATTTCTCGCGACAAAGGATCCGAAAAACCGTTTAAGGCGCAGAGGGCGCGCGGATGCGTTCGCATTGCGCGGGAGATATGGTAATATAATTGCGATAAATTAAACCGCACAGCGGGGCATCGCCCGTTGCCCGCCACTCCAGCGCTGGGCATCGTGTACTTTTTGACAAAATGCACGCGTTATCGGTGGTCATTATTAACGACCCGAGCGGGTCCTTCGTTCAGTTCTGCTCCCACTTCTGCCTTTTACGTATGAAGAGAACATGAAAAATGGTATGGTGATCTTGTTGCACATTGGCATCAGCGTGATTGGAGAAGTGCAATCACCAGTATTGCTGCGATAGCCATGCGGCTTCTATTGCTGTACTTTGTTGAAAGTTATATATACTTAGACGATTTCACACGCAGATATCTTGAGAATCTTAAAAGACTGTGTTGTCACTGTGAAAGTGCTGTTGTTGTCCGTAATAAATTTAATAAAATGGACATGAAAGATATTGTGCTACGATGAAGTTATCTCGTGTTATCGTTTAAGATGCATAAATTAAAAAAAAATTATCAGCTTGCGGCGTGTCATATTGTTTTACAAAATATTACATATGAATTTTGGATCTCCTTTGGATATCCTTGTATATAATTGTTAGTTGTTGTTCAGCCATTGCAACTTGAACGTCTCTATGATCTTTCGTCGTTATGAACGTTTAGCTTTTCAATTTTTTCATTTTTTTCATATATTCAATGCTCAATAGTCAATTTCGTCATACATTTATTTGAATATGTTTCAATTTTATCTGTTGTTAGTTTTAAGAAAACCGCCCCGACTCTTTAATCACGGGCATACTTTAACAGGCTATTTGACGAACTCATTTAAATAAATACCTTCGGTTAGAACTGTGCGTCCGGGCCATTGGAGTTTATTTAATTTATAAATTTTTCTCCAAGCAAAGCGGTACACAATGCAAGGTTCACGCCACATGGCGACGCCCCACCGGGGGGCGGGTTACTAAGGTGGATGACGCGACACTATTACAGCCCATCTTTTATCTTGCATAATATATCCTTTAATATAAAACCAAGATTATTTGTTCGACATCGTCCTGTTATTCGGACACGGCGGGTGTTCCTCCCGTCTCCCCGTGAAGTGTTTATTGGTTTAGCCGGGCGCGTGTAACTTTTTTCCTATTCGAAATTCATCCGCTGCGTATCACTAAGCACTGGTGATGTACTTGAATCCTATAAAAACCTCATCGATAGCCCACATTTGTAAACTTCAATGTACCTTCGATCCCACAGTACACGATTTAGTGTAGTGAAGTTTTAATAAAGTTGTATAATGTTATGTACTAAAGATGTTGAGAATATTTCCGAGAGCTGGTTATTTTCTCTGCTTTCTTGGAACCATGCCGCGTGAACTAGGTTAAATGCATAGAATGTAAGATTTAGTAATTTAGTTTAGTTAGTATTTATTATTATAAATATTTTGGTTATTATCAATAGATAATTTTTTGCCAAACTCAGGCTTGATTGAACAAAAAAACTCTTAGTCTCGAATCTCCTAAAACGCCTCGACCATCATTTCATTATCATTTTCAAATTTCTTGCCCGAAAAGTTTCACTTAAGCCGAGGAAAGAAGCCATTGGGAGCTAGATCTGGCGAACGTGGATTTTCAACAAGTTCGAAGCCTGTTTTTTTAATTGCAGCCATCGCAACTGCAGATTTGTGAACCGTTGCTTTCGCTTGAAAAAACATGACTCTGGCTCACAGTTCTCCGGGTTCTTTTGGGTTCCGTACTCATAGGGTAAAACCCTATTACTAAGACTCCGCTGTCTGTCTGTCTGTAAGTCTGTCACCAGGCTGTATGTATCTCATGAACCGAGATAGTTAGACAGTTGAAATTTTTACAGATGATGTATTTTTGTTGCCGCTATAACAACAAAAACTAAAAAAAAATATTAAACTGGGTGCTCCCATACAAGATTTTTTTCCCGTTTTATAGATAATAGTACGGGACCGTCGTGCGCGAGTCCGACTCGTACTTGGTTTTTTTCATAATAACCTCCGTAAATGCGGAAATACTTCCTTGAAATTGTGGCCTATTTATATGTATTATTTTAATACCCACTATGGGTATTAAATATACACAATATATGGTAGGAATTTTTTTTTTGGAATTTGATGTTTGTTACTCTTTCACGCAAATACTACTGAATGGATTATAATTAAACTTTACAATAATATAGCTTATACATCAGAATAAGACATGGGCTATAATTTATATACAGATTTTATGCATATCTGTCTTTCTGTCTGAATGTTACGCCATCAGTCTATTCTACGCGGACGTAGTCGCGGGCAGTTAGTATAGTAATAAATGGAGAGCCGGTTTTTTGTTCGGTTATACCGCGAAAACTACTGAACCGATCGGAATAATACTTATACCTTAAGATGCAGCGTGTTTCCGAGAAGGTTTTAGCAAATCATGCAAATTAGTCCAGCCATCACAATTTTCGCAAACGACTTTGCGGGCTAAGTGCTTGTTACTAAATAAACAACATATTGCTCTTCAAAATCTCATCCAAAATACATGCATATTAACAGCTAAGGACAGAGAAAATTTAAAAGGATCAACCCACGCTCTGTTTTTTTTTTCCGGTTCCAACGTCAATCGAAGGGTGTTCACGAGCCGATATTCAGCGGCTGTCAATCGGTGACGTTGCTCAGCCGCCGCTTCCTCGACCCGTGTCACCGTGCGCGGGCTGATCGCGCCCGACGGCAAGTAAATGATGCGTGCTTCTACTGCCCGCGAGGCCACTTACGTCGCGACCGATTACCACGCCCTCTACACTCGGATCGATCATTCGGACTGCGAGAGAACCACGAAGAAGAAGAATCGGGCTAACGTAGTCTATGTTTATTCTATTTTACTAAGACTGATCTTTTTGTTTCCGGTCGGTAGACTATTAAAACCTTCATCGAACGTAGAAGTCGTGAGTTAGACTCTCCCCCTCCACGCTCGGTTGGGCCGCGCATATACTCATGCATGGGCCATCTATGTGGAGCAATCTCACCTGCGGGCCATTGATGTAGTACCACGACGGTTGGGTTGTCGTTGCTGCGCTCTTGGTTACTTGTTACGGCGTCTCGGGATACCATAATTAAACACTTATTTATATGACTTAATGGTAATTATTTCCGGATCGGCCGTTACATACAGATAGTCCTCATAATAGAGATTACGCATTGACGTGTCTTACATAATGCTTTATATATATTATACAATATTATACATTGCCTTGCGTGATAGAACTTAATATATCTTGGTTGCTACGAAATTGTCCTTAGGCTATTATTTGAAGAACAATTTTGTAGAAAATTTGTCGTAGTGTGATACTCTTACACTACTCACTTCTGTTGCTGTTTACTGGTAATAGTAAATAGCTCTCTCTTTTATCACTAAGGCTGTGTAAATATACTAAATAAAATGGAAAGAGATATCTGTCACTACTATGTTTATTATTTGTTAATTGCTTCGTTTTATACCGATTATATTTTAAACGTTTGGTCAATGAAATTATGGAGGTTTCGTCTTTCTTTTGTTTTATTTTTAAGATTTGTTTATAATTTATTTACTGCTTTAGACCAAAAATTTTATTCAAGGCGACATCAGAAATTGAAAAAAATAATTGGTACATGCGTACGCATTCGGTATAAATAACTATAAAGTATATAAGGACAGGTCTGTCAAAACTTTGATCGAGCAATGGTATGGGTGCTTTAACAAAGGGCGAATAACTTCAAAACAGATCGAAAAGGGGTTATAATAGACTACCCAAATTTATCTCATAGAACCCATCTCTTTCTTGATAAATAGTTTTTTTCTCTCTACAGATTTCGAATCGCGCTCTGTTTAGATGACTCTGTGTTCCCATTGTGTAATAAATGGTTCTTATTTATTTCTCAAAACATGACAGATAATTCACCACGGCTACCGATAGAGACGTCTTTGTTGAAGGAAGAATGTGCGTCGGGTTTTGTTGGAAATAATAACACGGCTTATTGTTATATGGTGTTTTGGTTATGGAATCTAGTTATTATGACAAATAGCGAGGACGGTTCTAATCCTTTCGTTTGGGCAGCATCTGTTCCATGTACAAAGGAAATATGCATGTATATTTTTTTAATCTCGTGAATCGTTGGTGAGCCTTGCTGTAGCAATATTCTTATGAAGGTGTGAAAGTACGAAAATAATTTTCGTTAACATATTTTGTTGACAAATTTTAGTTAATGTGTATTAAAATTTCGCCCAAAATTAGACACTTATGTTATTCGATGGTGTCATAATATAATTCCAAGCCCCTAACGGTTCGAGATAAACGTTAAATCATTGACCTTCGAGGCACTTCTCAGTTCTATTTGCGGCAAAAAATACACTTTGAAAATTCGCAATAGAATGTCAGTCGCAGGGGAGCGTCGCCGAGGCCGAGTAAAGAGCATTTTATAAATGTGTTTTCAGTACAGCGACCGAGACTGTAGTAGTCGTCGACGGAACGCACGGCGATGCACCAAGTTTAATGGAAAAGAATTGAAAAGTAGCGCGTCTATATGGTAATAGAAATTGCCCGGAAGAAAGGAACACAGACGACAGAGTGCAGCGCTTTGAGTTATGGTTGTTTTATTGAGAATGGAGCGTTATTGCGTATATCTACAGAGTATCGGCGGCTAAGCGCAGCGATACGCCTGTTTCGTTGTTACCGGTCAAACGACATAAACGGAAATAAAGAGGGGTGTTTTAGTATGTATGGGACCAGAATGGGTTTCTATATTTCAGAATAGATAATGTTTATTCACCTGTATTTGTGTAATTTTAACTTTCATGCAAAACGAAATTATACTACAGTTTTGTTCGTATTCTAAAGTCACGATTGCTTAGTTTTACATGTATTTACGATAATTTAAAATAAACCCACGTCATTTAACCATAGGCGGTAATAGTGATAACCACATGTCACTAAATTTATTCAATCTCAAATCCATACAGGTGTCATGCCTTTGAACTTGAGTTGGCACTTCGAATTAAATTAATTGGTTTAATGGTGCCAGATCCACGACTATAGTGGACCACGACTTTAAAAATGAGCCCTTCTTTAATCTGGCACTGAGTCATCTCATCTATCAATATATTAAATGCCTTATAATAAATTAGCGGCGCGAAACCGAAATTCTGTTAATACACAGACATCGTTCCAAATGAAATATCTCCTTTTTGTGATTTTTTAGCGTTCGCGCGTCGTTATCGTTGAGAGCGGGCCTAATTGTAAAGCTCTTTATTAATGTCTCCGACCTGTTCAATATTCATGTCCAGATATTCTCGTATCATCGCCTCGCATAAATCTCGTCACGTCGATGACATCTTAATTGCTTATGTAACTGAAATTTTAGCTAAAACATTTAGGAACACTTAATAAGGACACATGTTTTGACAGCTTATGTTTAGAAATTAAAGTAGATTTGGCGCTTTAGTTTTCTTTGAAATCTGACTTGCAATAAATGTGCGACTCATTCTTTCTGTTTATAACTTTTTAATCTTTTCTGAGACTTTCTTAAAGACAAGGGATAAAATGGAATACAGTTTTATTGCGCTAGGGCCACACAACTTCTACGTTTGCAAGAATGAGCAGGCTCATTCAAGAAAGTACCAGGGCATCATTGAAGACAAGCCTAAAGTAGAAGTATTATATTTTCGCATTGCATCTAGGTAAGCGGGGCACACTATTTTTCAAAGGTTATCAACATATCCGCATGCCTGCAGGTGTTGAAGAGGTCCATGAGCGGCGGCAATCACTTAATACCAGGTCAACCGTCTGCTATCTTGACAACTTTTGACACCAATAAAATCCGACGGAAAATAAAGACAGTTTTTTTTGCAATAATGCATTCATTTCTATTTATTCAGCATCCGTGGACTGTCCATTGAACCAAAATTTTTATGACTTGAACCTGTTTCATAAATATAAGTTGTATTTTTTTATTTGACACTTTCATCATAGATATTTATAAAATACTGTAGTTAAATTGTTTCATTTGTCTAGTACCTAACACAGGAATTGATTTTGCGGAAACATTCTGGATACAACAGTTTTTCAAATCCATTTTGATTTTTGCCCGTTCTAAAGTAACCTACATGTAATTATAATACGTTCGTTTTTGACTTCTAACCAACATCGCCTCGGGCTGCACACGACATCCATTTTTCTATGGTATTTATACGAAGTTTACTTCACGTTTATACGTTATCCGGTGCCCACTATGTCCGGCCATAAATACAAAATTATTTAATGCTCGCCCATAAATACGTGATCTAAATATTCTCAAATAATGTGTTGTCTCAAAATTAAATACAACAATGGTCGGTGTTCTGCTGTAATGTCGTAATATATTAATTTATAGGTTTACGCATCCCTACACCGTGTGGGGTATGGTGTCACATGTGTTTAAGTGTTGGTGGCTAAATTTTACCGAGAGGGTTTCATTAATTCGCTCATTTTGTGCTATATCAAGATATGCTTATTGTCGACGATTTGTGAAGATTAAGTCACGATTTATATCGTGATCTGAAAGTGTCGGTGCAAACTTACGGAACGCTAAAAATCCTAAATAATTTAATTTGTGATTAAGCACCATATAAAAAAGTTTTCTCTTAAACAATAGCACTTATTTTGAAATCACTAGCAAATACTCCAATTTATTATCGGTATATATTTTATTTACAAATTGATGTTAATCCGTTCAAAATAATGTACATGCATAAGGTATCTATAAATAACTTCAGTCTATTTTATTGGTAATCTATAATATACGATATCTTTTAATTTACTTTATATTATATGAACTCATGTCGATTCTCAGATGTTCTCGTCTAATTTGTTTAAATCATACATCGGGATCGAAGGTCGTTGGCCGCCACAACGGTATTAGATTTTCCCGAATGCTAAGTTGACCGGTTACCGAAATGATTCATTACCGGCACTAGAATAAACTTTGGGCTATTTGTTCAGACACTCTCACGCGTGACCGTTGGGCCGCGTGTCAATTGCTCTTCGGTCCGAGTGTCGACACCTCCGCACCGGGGTCAACGGAACCTTTCGCGCTACGCCAATGTTTTCCGAACGCCCGACGGCATCCCTTTGGCGTGATTGCATTCGGCTCTGATGCATTAGATCAATTTGTCTCTCGGCACCATGTCGTTAGCGCCATTGGCCTTTCAATATTGGTAGGAGTGATTTGCACGATGTCGCTTTGCTCACAAATGCTCATGCTTGCTTGTGTATTCTACATATTTTTGGCATTAATCGTCTGAATAAAATCTAGAAAGCTATAGAAATAATTACAAACTCTTATTTATTTATATTTTAACTAGACTAACTTACATTATACAACATTTTGTTTCTTGAAATTTTTTTGAACATATAATTTCAGATCTGTTGCCATTGGATGTAGAGAATTAGTTCAGATATTATAATACGCGGTTGAATCCTGATTGCAATAATACACGTTATAGTCGAAAACTATGCAAAGCTTGTGGTATTAGGTTCAAGAAACATTTCCTGTATAAATAAGACATATTTTTTTCTAGTTTTATAAACAACACACATACACTTGAAAAGCATGTCACGATTTTTTTTAATTAGTGGTGATCATAACCACAACCATATGGCATAAGTAGCAGGTTAAATATTCGCTAAGCATTATCTCTATATATAAAAATGAATCGCAGAATGTGTTGCTAAGCGCAAATCTCGAGAACAGCTGAACCGATTTCGCTAATTCTTTTTTTATAATATTCCTTGAAGTACGAGGATGGTTCTTACGGAGAGAAAAGTTTAAAAAATTGCCTAAAAAAAGTCTAAAAACAACACTCTATATACCCGTACAAAATATTCATAATAATACTTAAAAGTAAATTTTAACTTTAATACCATACCATAAAGTTTAAATGTTAGTGGAAGAGTTCCGGGAAGGTAAAACAAGTGAGTGACTGTGGTAAAATGTCACTTGAAATGTAAACGTCTCTTTGCTGTGCATCACTACATAGTATAAAACAAAGTCGTCCCTCTGTCTGTCTGTCTGTCCCTATGTATGCTAAGATATTTAAAACTACGCAACGGATCTTGATGCGTTTTTTACTACATAGAGTGGTTCAAGAGGAAGGTTTATATATTTAATACATTGCACCCGTGCGTAGCCGGGGCGGGTCGCCAGTTATAAACAAAGCGTTGAAATTATAAATAAAACGTTGATAATAAATCGTTTTTTCAAAATATATTGTTGTATAAAATGAAGTGTAAACAAAAAGGTTGTTTGTTAATTGTTTATAACACAAATTTCCAAAAAGGCATATAAAAACTGGTAGACCAATAAACTTGAAAATAAAACTAATAAATCGCCGATCTAGATACAAAATAACTCGGCCGTCCACTGATTCTCACATTGGTGAGTTGACTAGTCTCATTAAAGCTGTCGTTTTATTTTTGAGCTGCTCAGCTGCTTTTATCTCGCCTGCAAAGCCCTCGTGATCGAAGAACTGATATGTTAATTGTAATCCAATACCTCACCTGCACTTCTACTTACTGATCCAGTAACAAATTTTGTTTGTAAATGTGTATTTTACGTACTTTTTATTTGTTCTTTAGAGCTGCAGCAGGAACTTAATAGTAATATAACGTATGACTACGTCACCTTTACAATTATCATTTAATAAACAATAACACTTTACGTGAATTGATTCTTGATTGAATGATTTTGTTTTTAGCATCGGTTTTATTGCCAAAGCAAGTGATTGATTACGATCAACGTGTTAGAAGTGATAATAAAGGCGTACACGGCAGTTGAATAAATTGTATATCCAAATCTTTTTTATGTCCAGAATAAGAACGAAATGTCAAAAGAAAAAAATTGTCTTTTGTCTTGATTCTTGAGAAGGGTAAAACAGTTAGAAAATGTAGACGTTTTTGAGAGAACTCACATTTCCATAATACTTTATATTACAATCAAGTCTTGCCCCGTTGTAATCAAGTGACAGAATGTAATCGATTTAGTTCGACGAACTTGACGAAAACTACGTATGACGAGCTACTAAATAGATGCAGTTTTAGACATTTTATTTATTTAAAAGTTTTCATCAATTAATCATGATTTATTCGATCAAATAACTGATGGCTTGAAATAAAAGAAAACTCGTATTACTAAAACATTACTAAATACTGGAAATTTTATGTCCTCAGCTATTAATGAATCATCACAAACAGTGCATTTAAATGTCTCAATTTCTACGGGCCGTTCCAAATAGAATGGTATGAGGGAATCACTAAAAATTATTTATTTGCGTCGCAGCAAATCTTACATCTTAATCAAAGTCCGATCTTTCCGGAGCGGGCCCTCGGCGAATTATCGACCGTATAACAGCGGGGTGCGGCCGCAGATGAATTCCGTTTACGAAATAAACGACGCTCGAGACCGCGTCGCGCCAAAGAATTAGGCGCGGAAACCCCCGTAGCGAGGGCATCTCGTAAATACCCGCCGCGGACGCTCGCTGCGCCGACGCTCGGAACATTATTGTTATACATTCGTTTAAGGGTTTAATTACTTGCATCGCTGATGAGCTCGCCGCGCCGTTGTCACTTTCGACTGCGCGCACGTGATCGTAAATCTTCGCAGCGCTAACGATGCGAGCGCCGTGCTGCGTCGAATTGCCGGCGGTGTGCCTTTCTTGCTTTTTTCTCCCCCGATGGAAATATTTTGCAGGAATTATGCTATATGCTGTGTACCGTAGTACCGGTACGGGTCACCGCCAGCTCTTTGGTTGGTGATACAATGATGATGACCATTGTAGCGCATTTTAATTAATGTTTAAATTATGGCGGTTTTAGCACCGTAAACATATTATGTGTATGACGGAATCAATAATACATACGCATTGTTTTTTAAATAAAGCTATTTATAATGATTATGTCGTTATGATTTAATAGCAAATAATTCTTAGCCACTATTATCGTAATTCTATAATCCAACTTGTTTCACTTGTTAACAACTGAAACAAAACATTTGCACCCTAAAGCGGTCGAGACGTTAACTGCGCTTTAAAAAATATTCTTCCCATGGTTCGTTTCTCGCATCGTAGTCAAGTGACTTAAGTAACAGAGCTTTGAATGGATAAGAATTCGTTTGCGTCGAGCACTCGTCGCTTCGCTTCGATCTCTCGGGGGTCGCACGGCCGTTTTCGATTTACCTCACATGCCGGTGTCGAGTATCAAGTGAGCATCGACTGCCGGTATCCCTACCCCATTGCCTCCGACTAGGACTTTTCTTCCGTCTAAAGTTGCGGCCTGATCACAATGCAGTCGGTGCTCCGTTTGTAAACGCGATACTTCCGTCCGATCAAAGAATCCTCGCATGCGAACGCGGCTCCCTTTACTTTAATCAAACGGCTGCGACAAAGGATTGAATGGAGCTCTCCTCGATTTCGCTCCAGCCATCGTTATTGGCTGCGAAATTCCTACCTCGGAACCGTTGTCGGCATTTTTTGGCAATGATAGCAAGAAACACGACGATTGTTTTTTTACTGCCCTATGCATGTCCCAGTATGCTATTATTCCGAAGTGCCTATTCACAAAAAGTAGCCGTCAACTTACCGCTCCCACGACTTGACGTTACAATTATTTTAAGTGATTGCTTAATTATGGGTTTACGACTTTAGATTAATATTAAGACGTAAAAGTTAACATTGTGACATTACTCGGTTCCGTCGTTCCGTTGAACAGATATTGAAAATAAGAAAACGACGTAATATATTTTAATTTTCGTTTGATATCTCGGTATCGTTTTTAGTGTGCGATCTGGGCTTTAACAATTTTTTAAAAGAGTAAATGACTTTCATTTGGTAATGACTCTTCAAATTTATGATACTTGTGGAGAGTGATTCGTTGTTTTCTCGAGTATCTGTCAAATTTGACGTCAAGAGTTTTCCTCACGTTCGAAGGATTTTAATGTGATTGGCAACCTTATCTAATTTCTGATAAGTGTTCCTGTTGATGTGATTAATCGTATCAGTACTTTGCATTATGTATTGAACATTGCGGACTTGCGCCACTTTGACCCTTCTGTCAACGAGTATCCTCACTGCCGAAAATAGGTTTTATGTAATCTGTGGGAGGTATACGTACACCGCCCATTTACATCTAAAACACCTAACGGGCTGCAGATGCGTTGCCAACATTAAAAAAGTGGGCTCTGGTGACCTCACTCACAAGACGAAACGCGAAAGAATAGTACTTCCACTTCACATTAGTTTACGGTGAAGCCGTGATACATCCCCGGTTCCCCTTACCATCGTATTTAGTGTATTTGTTTTCCGCCTTTGTAGTTGGGATTTGATTATTACTAGAAAGCTTTGTCACGTTAAAAACTATTGGTTAAAAAAGGGGAGTATGGCACGGTCACGCAATGAACACTTATTTAACTCACAGGCACCAATTATATTTGAACGCCATCTGAAACTCGGACTGCAATGTATCATTTAACTTTTGCTGTAACGAACCGTAATTGCCTAGAATTGTTCTATTTAATCATCCGACCGATACCTACTACGACATTGGGCTATTTATGCTATCTATATTATTTGTCACCAAATTTCGAATGACTCATACGGGAGAAATTTTAACTCGTAAATGATTTTGAGTTTTGACTATAATAACACTTTTTTAAACTCAAACACTAGCTAGTGCTAAGCTTGTTTATCCCATCTGATAGTAGAGATGAAAAATAGAAACTTAGATAGAAAACGCATTAGCTCAATAACAGCCTCTTCCCTTAAAAATACTATAATCAGACAAAAAAAACTGACGCTGCTAAATTATCATTAAGCAGCCCTCTCCCGGGGAGCACCTCCCTCTTCCTCCAGCTAAGGTGCGCTAGAACATTCAGAGGGCGTTTCTACTCGTACCCATTTTACGGCCAACGAACTCTCCCGAGTTCGCTGACCAGGGCCATGGGAGCCAGGAAAGCCAGTGCTAATAAGCAGCAAGCCTCCCAGCTCCCAGCGGTAGACCTGGTCTGTGGCTCCGCCGCTCAGCATGTTTCGACCGCGGAGAGTAGGGAGAACGGCGCTTCGCAATACCGAGACTCCTTTCCCCCGTGGCCCCACCGCCACTGCATCAGCGGTGCAGCCCCGCTGAGTTGCGGATAATAGGGAGAGCGGTCAGAAGCAATACCGGCAATCCTCTTCCCAGTGGCCCCTCCTCTACCACTGTCAACCGGTCGCCTGCACCCCCCAGCACGGCACTCATTCAGATTTCGGAGGGGCCCTCTCGGGCCGGCCTTACACCACAGGTCGGCCCAGTGTGGTTTCCTCTTAGCTTCACCGTGGGTGACCAAGCCACGGCTACTAAGCGACTCCGCCATGTCAAGGCAGGAACCCGGTCGAAGGTGGCAGAGCTCTGGCTGTCTGATGATGGAATGAGGAGGGGGAATCAACTTATGCAATTACAATGGGCGCTCAATAATGCAACCTATGGAGCACCGATTCTTAAAAGTCAATGTCACCAATAAGACTTTTTTAACAAATAAATAGTATTTTGCACCAGCAGTCCAAATATAGCAGTATTCTTAACACGATTGGATTTGGGCTTTAAAAAGTGATAGAAAACCGAGATAAAATTTTACCATCAACTTACTAACTGTTTTTGTCGCCGACTCGGGTCAAAATTGTGATTTGAAGTGATCTCAGTAACCAGTATGTGAAGCTGGTTGGATTTTTCTAAATGATCATGTGGTCATTAATAATCATGCATTGAGTTGCGGATAAGACGGAGCCCTGAGCAACTCGTGCTGATCGTAATAGGCTCGGCAGAACTGCCACATTACTCAGAACGTCCTCCACACACCCTTTTAGACAAGGGGATATACCGTTCAGGAGGAATGCTTCGTGTACGTCCATACTCTTCTAATAAGTACTCAAAAATTTTGATTTTAAATGCGTGCCACATACACAATGGCATCACAGTGAGGTAGTAAAGGTGTTGCCGGTAGTTAAATTTATACTTTAATTGGCTAACAATTGCTTGGTATGAATAAAACTTCCTTTATATGTTTGACTCATTTGAAACAAACTGATATAAATGACTTTGTGTCTATCTTTAACCGAGTTCAAAACAGAATGAGGTTTCTCAATTCGACTGTATATATTTTTATTTTTTTTATGTGTGTTCGCGGATAACTTCGTCATTTATGAATCGATTTTGATGATTCTGTTTTTGTTGGAAAGGTGATATCCCAAGGGTCGTACCGTGATAAGGAAACCCGGATTTGATGATGGCATCCCAGAGAAATCGAGGGCAATCTAAAATTTTATAGGTGTTGATGTTTTATTAGTTTCCGTTTGAAGACAGTTTTTTTTTTGTTCAAAATTATTTAAAATCAAAAAAAGCCTTGTCAGACGGTTGTCAGTTCTATCACGAATGAAATTTTTGAAATTATACCAAAATTCAGAAGTCAAATAATTTTGCGTAATATGCACATTACTTATCTTAATTGATTTTAATTATAAGAATCGATTCGAAGCGTTCACCACCTTAATATCCAAAGTAAATGTTATTTTTGACAGGATCTTGCTTATCTCTTTCTTATTTTGTTATCCTTGTTAACAAGACCCCCAAAGTAAGATTGACGTGGGCTTTTTAAGGACCCTTTTTAATAAATCCAAAGGCTTCAATCACCTGCAGTTTCAGCCAATTTAAAAATAACAAAGGGTGATATAATACGAATCGTCTTTCAATGTCGCACGGTTATTGAATAAAAACAAAATGTCGCTACCTCGATCTCGCCCCTGATGCTTATACGATTTTTATGGTCTGTGAAATGCAGGTATAAAGCTTTACAATTTAAACTTCGAGCTGCTGCCATCCGTAACGACAGCATTTTGTTTGCTAGTCTCGTTTACTACTAATATTTAGAATCAAAATTCCAATCGCGGAAAGTGTTTTTTCCCCCACATATACATTGAATGAATTTCACACAAAATGAATTACAAGAACGATGAATATATTAAAGCTCACATAGGCTTTACAAAGCGGGATCCTCTTGTCACTCGTCGACCTCCTCAGCGCTAGCAATTATGACGGCTGTCTCCTCCGGATGATAATAGATGTAAAAACTGCAGTCTAATCTCAGGAGCACCAAAGATTCCCTTCGTGGTAACGATAGGGTAAAGTTTAGAGCATGCAGCGCAAAATGGCCGTTAGTACCTTATGAGGCTATCACTTCTTAATTCCGTTTCCAGTACATAAGAGATTATGGTGTAAATGGATGAACTGGTTAACGCTCGCATACGCTTTCCGGTAAATATTACACTTTAACACAGTGAAGATGCACACATTTCTCTTATGGACAATAGGAATATTAGTGCATCTTAACAGGATCAATGGACAACCGTCAATACAATGTTGATGCCTCTGGCGGATACCGGGGAACAGCGGCTCGCTGAGAGCTTTTCTTCCAAATTGGCGTGGGTGGTCTACTTCAGTTTAAATGTAATGGCTCAAAAGGTGATCGGTGAGCTCAATCTTAAGAGAACCGATTGCAATTTGAGAACGTCGGACAAGTGGCAACGGACGTTACGCCCCGACTCAATACATCAAACATCCTTCCCACCACTTACCCAAACAAAATCAAAAAAGCGTAAATAAATACACAATAACAAACAATAACAAACATAAATCAACATAATTATTACATATTGAATTGTATTTAATAGATAATGGTTAAAATAAGATAAACATTCTCTTACTACTTTGGGAAAAAGGAATTACGTTGAATATGTTTATAGTAACGA